GAGGGGCGCGGGGCGAGAGAGCAGCGCCTCGCCTCCGGCAGACCGGCGCCTCCGCGCAGCCGGCAGCCCAGCAAGGCCATGGGCGCGAGCTGCCGGGTCAACGCGCTGTGCGCCAGCCGCCACTCCTCGGCGAGGCTCGGCAGCGGCGGCGACGCGGCGACGGCGGCGGCTGCCGTCGCGGCCGTCGCTGCCGTGAGGAAGTGTCGCACCACTCCGCTCGGGCGGTGCTGCGCGTGTGCGCGCTGTGCGGAAGCGGCGTGGAGGAGGGCGAGCAGCCGGTGCGGGTCGTGGGGGTGCCTAGAAGGTTCCAGATGGCTCCTAGAAGGTTCCTAGAAGCTTCGAGTCGCGATGCGGGTCGTGGGGGTGCCCCGCGAGCCAGCGCGAGCCGAGCGCCTCAGCGTCCGGGGTGAGCGGCGCGGGGTCGTCAAGCGGCGCCTGTGAGGAGGGTCTCGGAAAGGTCTCGGAAGGGTCTCGGAAGGGTCTTGGAAGGGCCTCGGAAGGGTCTCGGAAGGGTCTTGGAAGGGCCTCGGAAGGGCCTCGGAAGGGTCTCGGAAGGTCTCGGAAGGTCTCGGAAGGGTCTCGGAAGGGTCTCGGAAGGGTCTCGGAAGGGTCTCGGAAGGGTCTCGGAAGGGTCTCGGAAGGGTCTCGGAAGGGTCTCGGAAGGGTCTCGGAAGGGTCTCGGAAGGGTCTCGGAAGGTCTCGGAAGGGTCTCGGAAGGGTCTCGGAAAGGTCTCGGAAGGGTCTCGTCGAGAGCGGCGCCAAATCGAGCACGCGAAGCACCTCCTGGGTCGGCTCGTCGGGGGGCGGGAGCCGCTCCAGCGCCTGCTTCACGCAAGCTCGGCTCATCTCGGCTCATCTAGGCGCATCTCGGCGCATCTCGGTCCATCTCGGAGCCGCTCCAGCGCCTGCTGCAGCGCCGTCGCCTCCTCGAGCGGCGTGGCGGGCAGGGCGGTGGCGGCGGCGGCGAGCTCGTGCCAGCGGGCGCACGTCTCGAGCTGGGCGAGATAGGCGCGGTGCACGCCTAGAAGGTTCCTAGAAGGTTCCTAGAAGGTTCCTAGAAGGTTCCTAGAAGTAGGCGCGGTGCATGCCGTCGTCGGCCGTCGGCGTGCGCAGCTGGAGCAGCTCTCCGACAACCAGCCGCAAGTGCCAGGCGAGGGAGTAGTCTGGCAGCGACACGCCCGACCCGCCCGACCCCACCCCTCGCGGCGGAAGGGGCGGCCGCGCGGGCAGCGGCGGCAGCGGCGCCGTCGGCGCGAAGACGAGGCGGAGCAAGTGCCACGCCGGGTCGGCCGGCGCGAGACCTAAAAGAGAAGTATGGCGCTCAAAAAGAGATGCGCGGGGGGTAGTCGCCGGGTCGGCAGGCGCGAGACCGTCTGCGAGCGGCGGCGGCGGCGGCGGGTCGCCGGCCGCAACGTCCCCGAAGCCTAGCTCTGCAGCGTATGCCTCGCGCCACCCTCCGCCCCCTCCGCCGCCTCCGCCCCCTCCGCCGCCTCCGCCCCCTCCGCCGCCTCCGCCGCCCTCCTCGCCCGCCAGCAGCGCAGTCAGCTCCATCAGGCTGGGCGGCAGCAGCTCTGGCTGCGCCCTCCACGCTGCGAGCTGCGCGGCCATGTCCCCGCGCACCGAGGCGACGGGCTGGGCGAGGATGGCGGCGAGGTAGCCGCGCGGCGCCTGCTCACAGCATCCAGCTGTGAGGAGACGCTGTTCACAGCTGCGCGAGCGGCGAACGCGGGCGGGTCGGGGGCGTGCGTCTTGGGCGCGTTGGGTGTGTGTTGGGCGCGTGTGTTGGGTGTGTGTGTTGGGCGTGTGTGCGGAGGGCGAGTGTCGGGCGGGAGAGAGGTGGCAGAGGGGGGCGGCAGAGGGTGGGGGGAGAGGGTGGGGGAAGAGGGAGGCGGCGGGGGGAGAGGGAGGAGGCGGGGGAAGAGGGGAGAGGCGGGGAGCGAGGAGGCCGGGGGGCGAGGAGGCCGGGGGAGGGGGGGGGGGGGGGGGGGAGGCGGTTCAAACAACCTCTTTTTCGATGGGCAACTTGACGGGGCCGTTTGGTTGCAGCCCCTTGCACAGCTCGAGGGCGGCGGCGCCGCCCTCGGCCGGCAAGCCCGCCGCCGTCGGCGCTGCCAGCGCGAGCCGCAGCCAGCTCCGCACCGCCTCGCGTCGCTTTGCAGCCATCAGCGCCGCCTGCTCCTCGCTGAGGCCGAGCTCGCCGCCGGCGGCCGGGCGGAGGGTGGCGGCCAGCAGCGCCTGGACGAGCTTCCACAGGTGCTGCCGCTCGCGCTGCCGCGCCCGCTCCGCCTCCTGGATCGCGCTCGCAGCGCCCTCGGCGTCCTTGAACTCGCGCACCGCGCCCTCGAGTGCAGCCGGAGTGGGGAGGACGAGGTTTCCCTCCTCGCGCTCGCAGCGCGCGCCGCCGTGGAGACGCACCTCCAGCAGCGGCTCGGCCAGCTCGACCGCCCGCGCGACGCCGCCGCCCGCCGAGGCAGCAGCGTCGAGAGCGGCGAGCCGCTCGATGCAGCACCTCTTGCCCGTCGCGAAGGCGCAGACGCCGTTCGGGCCGAAGCTGACGCGCGTGGAACGCGCCATGGGCAGGGGGCCGGCCGCGGACGGGTGGCGGCTCTGTGTGAAGGAGGACGGCATGATACACCGAGAAGACGACTGGCCGCAGCCCCCGGGGCGCGGGCGTCTGAAAAGAAATTTTTTGTGTCACAGTGCCATGCCTCGAGACTCCCTAGGGTGGGCGACGGATAGCGCACCACACACCTCTCCTTAAAATCCCTGTGTGGTGGCGGCGTGCCGTCCTCCCATCCCTCCCTTGGGTTGTCTGTTTTCTTTCTTTCTTTTTCGAGCCAAGCAGGGCGCGATGCCGCGTAGAGAAACACGAACAACGAGAAAAAAATCGAGGTCATGCAAGCGCGCGGGCACAGACAATGAGCGATGCAGACTCCTCTCGCCGAGCGCTATGCCGCGGCATTCCAGCTCGCTGCTTTCGCGGCGGTGGTTTTGGTAGCCCTGATCGCTTTGCATCGCAGCGGGCTCAAGCGTCCGAGTGCAAGAATCGTGTCGTCGCCACCACCGCAGCTGAAGCGACCGAGCGCTGTCTCTCCAATCGAGCGCATCAGCTCCGCCGCATTCAATGGCGCGCACTGTGAGAAGGGTGTGCGAGCGTCGCGTGAGCGCGCCGACGCGCTTCTTCTGGCTCGGCAGGACACCTACATCGGCTACATGACGCTGCGCACAGAGCCAGGCCTGGTTTTCTTTGCGCGGCTCGGTGCCGCGATCGTCGGCCCCGCAACCGGCAAACCGAGTCCGGGCTGCGCCGTGAGCGTGCTCTCAAGCAATGAACAGATCATCCTAGACAATCGGGCTGGGCCAAAAGCACCCGCTCTCGCATCGCGACGAACCCAATACGCCTCGCCCGGCTCGAGAGAGTTTCTTCCTCAGCACACGCTCTTCGCGGCGGGAGGCGGAACGAGCGCATCGGAGTGCGTCGAGGGGGGCGTCGGATCGTGCTGGCTCATCGCGGCGATGGCCTCGGTCGCCGCTCACCCTGGGGGCATCCGGCGCATGCTGCAGCGAGGCGGCAGTGCCGGAGTCTACGTGGTGACGCTGCACTCTCCGTTCGACGCTTCACTGCCGCCGACGAAGGTTGAGGTCGAAGAGACGCTGCCGGCGTGCTGCATTGGCGCCGGCGCTTGCGCTGCGGCCTATGCCAAGCCAGCCACGGACGACGACGCGCAGGCTGCCGCCGTTCTCTGGCCCTGCCTGGTGGAGAAGGCGTGCGCGGCGTCTGGCCTGTTTGCCGCCGGTGGGCAAGGGTACGAGGGGCTGAACGGAGGTGATCCTGCCAAGGCGCTGCAGGCGCTCACCGGCGTGGCGCCGTCGGTGTTCCGGCTCGCGGGCGAGGCGCCCGCCGCTGTGGACGCGACTCTGCAGTCCTTCCTAGAGACGGGCGAGCACGCGATCTGCTTGGCGTCTGCCATCTTCGATGCGCACGCGCAATCGGACACGATCTCCCGCGACGGGGTGCAGCAGGACCACTGCTACTCCCTCCTCGCCTCCCGTCCTCGTTCTGCGCGCCACCGCTCTGCCTCGAGCGATCTGGATCGGGCAGAGGCCGACAAGCCGCCGCACGAGTTCCAGCTGCGCAACCCGTGGGGACGGCGGGGGCTCGCCCAACCCGGGGTGCCGTTGCGTGACGCTTCGGATGGGCTGTTTTGGATGACGGCGGACACCATCGCGGAACTGTTTGTGGAGGGCTACGCCGTGAGAGTGTCGCAGGACCCCGAAGGTTAAAATCAGACAGGTCTGTCAGATCTCCTTCGCGACACCAGTCACCACCGATCACACCGATCACACAATTTCACATCAGACAACAACAAAATAAAAGGAGGAACCAACGAAGTTTACTCTGTCACACAGACACAGACACGCACACACACACACTCAACGTACGGTAAAACGAGAGACTCTCTCCGCAGAGCGCCGCAGAGGCTGAGACCGCACCCGGCCCCAGCGCGCAGCGGCCCCACGTGCACAACGCTGTGGGGTGTGGGCCCTTACCCGCGCATCAGGCGGTCGAGGGCCCCATTGATGTCTCCGCCAGAGGCCGCCAGCGCCCGCAGCACCGCCACCGAATCGAGGTAACCCATGGCACACAGCTGCTCGACTTGCTGACGGTACCTCACAGCTGGAGGGGGCGCCGGCCCGAGAGCTGGCGCCAGCCTCGGCGGCGGCGCCGGGGCGGGCGCTGCGGCGAGGGTGCTCACGGCGCGTAGAGCGGCACCTGCCCCGGCCTGCCCCCTCCCTGCCGCCTGCCCCCTCCCTGCCCCCTGCCCCCTCCCCGCCGGCCCGGCCGGCCCCGCCGCCCCCCTCCCCGCCGGCCCCGCCCCCGCCTCGGGAAGCCTGAGGGCGCCGCGCCACTGGCTGGCCGCGGCCAGGAGAGCGGCGTGCAGAGGCCGCCGACCGCCGTCGCGCGGCGCCCCCTCTGCTGCCTGGCACGCCTGCAGCACCTTCTGGAGCTGCCCTCCTAGCGGGCCGAGCCTACGACAGCCGCGAGCGTGGAGAGGAGGGGGGGAGGGGTGCGCGGCTGCTCGTGCCCTGTGCTCTCAGAGCGAGCCACGTGGTCGCTGTGCTCTCAGAGCGAGCCACGTGGTCGGCTCAGCTTGTTGCTCGGCGCATATCGGCGCATCTCGACGCATCTCGACGCATCTCGACGCATCTCGACGCATCTCGGCGCATCTCGGCGCATCTCGGCGCATCTCGGCGCATCTCGGCGCATCTCGGCACATCTCACCGGTCGACGCGGTCGGGCGGCGGCTGCAGCAGCTGCACGAGGCTGCCGAGCCGCTGCACAAACTTGACGCGCTGCGGGTCCGCACCGATCGGCAAGCTGCGGGTAGGCTGCAGCGGCAGATCGTCGAGCGCTTGCTTCGGCACGCCGGGGAAGCGCCGCTGCACGTCGCCCTGCAGCTTGGAGAGGGAGGACGCGTACTCGCCTGCGAAGGCGGGAGAGATCAGCCGAGATCAGCCGAGATCAGCCGAGATCAGCCGAGATCAGCCCAGATCAGCCCAGATCAGCCGGAGGAAGACGCGCACGCGCCTGCGAGGCGGGAGAGCGCCGGCCGCCGAGGCGCCTCCGAAGACACCGCCTCCGCGGCGGCGCAGAGGTACGACACCATGAGGCAGTCGAGCACCTCGCTCGCCCACTTCGCGTTCCGAACAGCCACTCGCGCGAGCAGCGTAAGCGGCGGAGCCGAGGCGACGCCCGCCGCCGCCGCCCCCGCCGCCGCCCCCGCCGCCGCCGCGCCGGCCGCCTCCTGGACGACGACGCGGCGCGGGAGCAGCCGCACCGCGAGGCTGTCGAACAGGCGGAGTGCGAGGTGGAGGGCGGACGGCTGTGCGCCGCCGGGGCCGGGGAGCAGGGCGGCGCGGACGGCGGCGAGGAGGGCGGCGAGGAGGGCGGGCAGGACGAGGTCGACCAGCTGCGCCTCCTGGGCGGCGGAGTCGAGGAGGAGGGGCTCGCCGGCCGGCTGGGGCAGGTCGAGGTGGCGCTGCAGCACGTCGCCTACGCCACGCTCCAAGACGTGTCTGCGCAAGCCCCCGCCGGCTGGGAGGCGGGTCGGGCGAGCGACGGCGCCAAGCGTCTCGAGCGCGAGGCTCACGCGCCCCGCCAGCTGGCTCGGCGGCAGGCCGCGGCACGGCAGGAGCAGCCGCGGCAGCAGCGTCGTCCGCAGCATCCGCCCCGCCAGCGCCGTCAGCGGAGGCTCGCGCAGCAGCGCCAGCATCTCCGCCTTGGTCACGCCCTCCCCCTCCTCGGCCGCGGACGGGACCAGCGGCCGCTCGAGCGCCCCCTTGCAGACGTCGTCGAGCGCCTACGGGTCCAGAGCCAGGGGTGGTCGGGGGGCGGGCCCGCCGCGGAAGGAGCTCGTCCGCGGGCCGTGTGGATGCGGCGCGCGAGATACAGCCGAGATACAGCCGAGAAACAGCCGAGATACAGCCGAGATCTAGCCGAAGCGCGCCTTTTGGATGCGGCGCGCGTGCGCCCCGCCATCGAGCGCCTCGAGCGGCGCGACGAGGAGGAGGAGCTGGCGCATTCGGCCCGCAACCTCTCGCCGCAGCGGGCGCGGCGCGTCGCTGCGCCGCTGCGTCGCCGGCCGCAGCAGCTGCCGCAGGAGCCACTCAAAGACGAGCCTGGGACAGAGGCGTCGGGAGACTCAGCCGCGGGGAGTGGGGCGCCAGAGGCGGAGCCGAGCGAGTGCCCGTCACGGTGGAGGCAGAGGCGCGGCAGCTTCTCGAGCAGCAGCGAGGCGAGGTAGCAGGCGAGGTGGCACGCCTACAGGAAGGGACAGGAACGGTCCGGGAAAGGTCCAGGACAGGCCCGGGAAAGGCTCCGCCGGTGGCCGGCCTGCCGGCACTCGCCCGCCGCCTGCTCCTCCGACCGCGACGGCTCGCGGGCTCGTCTGCGGGCGCCGTCACCCTCCGCAGAGAGCTTGGCCAGCTGGTCACACACCCTCCACAGGTGCGAAGTCGCCGCTCGCACAACCCCCTCCGCGCGCGGCAGCAGCTCCGGAGTGGCCGCCGGCGTCACCGCCGCCGCGCCGCCGTCGACCAGCCCTCCCAGCGCGTCGATTGCCGCGTCGAGGATGGGGATCTGCTCGAAGGGCTCGCGGCCGGAGAGGGCGGCGTCGGGGAGGGCGCGCAGCGTGCAGAGCAGCGGCGCGGCGGGCGCGGCGTACGCGGCGGAGGCCGAGAGCAGGAGGCGCGTGAAGCGGCGCTGGGCGCGGGCCGCCTCGCGGCCGGCCTCCATCATGCTCGTCAGCCACAGACGCTCGAGGTCGTCGGAAAAGTGCTGCACGAGGACGCGCCCGAGCGGCGGGTGCGACTCGAGCAGCCCGCTCACAAACTCAGCCGGCGCGAGCCTCCTCTCGCGTTGGTCGCGCGCCTATTCCATGCCGCCGGTGTGCGTGAAGAGGCGGGCTGCTCGCGCCTCGCCGCCCGCCGCGCCGCCGTCCGTCCTCGTCGGGCGAGCGACCGCCGAAGAAGCGGCCGGCGTAGTCGGGGCGGAGCAGCCCCTGCTGTTCGCGCAGCTTCGCCAGCTCGCGCACCTGCGTCTCCAAGGCGAGGTCGCGGAGGAGAAAGGCCTGGATGCGCGCCCACAACTGCACCGCCTCGCGCGCCGCCCTGCGCCACGCGGCGACGTCCGTCGCCGGCCTCGCCTGCAGCCGCTCGTGCAGCACGTCGCCGCCGCGCCACGCCTCGCGCAGCACCACCTTCAGCTCCTCGCCAAACGCGCCCACCTTTGCGGCCGCCTCCATCGCCGCGTCGTCGAGCGCGTCCATCGCGGCAAATTGGTCGATCTCCTCGCCGCCGCCGCCGCCGCCGCCGGACGCGTCCACCAGCGGGCTCGAGAGGGCAGCGTCGAGAGCGGCGTCGACGACGCGCAGCGCCGCGGCGGCGTAGTGCGGAGGCGCGCGCCGCGCCACCCGCAGGAGAGGCGCGCACAGCAGCGACGCGTCGCCCGTGCCGGAAGAGGGCGAGGTGGGCAGGGCGCGCACGAGCGCGGCGCTGCGCTCGAGGAGGCAGAGGAGCAGCTCTCCCGCGCCGTCGATCTCGGGCCGCGCGGGCGCGGACGAGGCGGCGTCGGAGTCGGGCCGGCCGCAAGCGTGGCCCGCGTGGCTCGCGCCTGGGTCCGCCGCCCCGACTGCGTCCGCCAGCTGCGAGAGGATCGTCGAGAGGGAGGCGCCGATCGGCGCGACGTCGCCGCCCCCCTCGCGCACGCGCCGGAAGAGCTGCAGCAGCGACTCGACGACGATGTACCTCGCGCAGAGCGACGAGCCGCGCGCCGGGAGCAGCGAGGCAATCTTGTTGGCCAGCTTGGTGAGGGCGGCCGCGCTGTCGCGCTGCACCTACGGCACGTGTCCTGGACGTGTCCTGGACGTGTCCTCGACGCGTCCTGGGCGTGTCCTGCTCTGCGCCCGACTGCGGCACCTCGGCGGCGAGCAGCAGCGAGGCGCATGTGGACCAGAGCTCGTCGACGCACCCGAGGTGCCGCATCGAGTCGGCGGCGCGCCGCTGGTGCGTGCCGGGGCAGCAGACGGCGAGCGGGCCTCGGTCGGCCCACGACATGAGCTTGGAGACGCCCCCCCTCGGCACCGCGAGCAGGAACATCTGCGTCGCCAGGAAGCGGAGCGCGAGCATCCGGCAGTCGTCGGCCGGCTCGTGCGCCGCCGCGGCGAGCCGCTCGCCGCCGCCGCCGTGGGGAGCCCGCCTCCGCCAGACGTCGAGCGGGGGGAAGGCGTGGTCGGCGCGGGCGGTGCGGCAAGAGACGCGCGGCGGCGGCGCCCAGCGCCACACCTCGAGCGCGAGGTTGAAGTTTGGCGCCCACGCGGTGGAGAGGTCGCAGCAGAGGCGGAGCAGCTCGCTCGCCGCCGCCGCCGCGTCCTCGCCCGCGCCCCAGCCGAGCTTCTGCGCCTGCCGCGGGTTGAGACACGACTCGTGCAGCAGCAGCCGCACCTGCGGGGAGGGCGGCGGTGGCGACGGCGGCGGTGGCGACGGCGGCGGTGGCGACGGGGGGCGGGGGGGGGGGGGGGGGGGGGGGGGGCCCCCAAAAAGGTGGCCCCCAAAAAAGAAGCCCCCGGGAAGCTTCCCAAAAATTTAGGGAAAAGAGTTTTTTCTTAAACCGGGGGGAACCCCCCCTTTTTCCATTTTAAACCCCCCGGGGCCCCCTTTTGGAAGGGAAAACCCTTCCCCTCCAAAGAATAAAGGGGGAAAAGCCCCTTTTCCCCCCCCCCCGGGGGTAAATTCGGCCCCCCTCCCCCCCACCCGGGGGGGGAGGGGGCCCCCCAACCCCAAAAAAAAAAACCCCCCCCCACCCCATTTTTTAAATTTTTCCCAAACCAAAAAAACCCCCCCGGGTTTTCCCGCCCCCCCCCCTTTCCCAAAAAAAAAGGAAAACCGGCCCCCTTTTTCCAAAAATCTTTTTTTTAACAAGCCCCAAAAAGGGAACTTGGTTTTTCCGGCCGGGG